TGCTTATTTCACGGAACCACGTAACGGTATGGTCTGACTCTGCAGTTCTCTGAATCAACATCACAAGATATTGTAAACCAAATATTAATTGTTCTTGTATTTTACCATGTATATTGTACACTGTTATTATATTCTCTTGTTATCCCAGTTGTGTTTTTGCTTGGTTTGAGCTGTGGCGCTCAAAGTTTCTACAAACTGACCCTCAACAGACTGGGTCATATCATATTCCAGATATTCATTTAGTTTCCTTACCAGGTCAAAGGGACATGCTTTTGTTTAAGGTTTGGGAATATAATGTGACTTCTACCAGATAAAAAAATTAGATACTGCTTATTAATAAAAGATGAAACATTCTGTATGACTGAAACAAATTAATAAAGCTGAATTATGTTAAAAATTATTCATGAATATTCATTGGAAATCTTTTACAAACTTCAAGACTAATAAATTTTGCAGTAACGTTTGATATGAGACTTGAAATTACAGTTTAGTAATACTTTCCAGCTTATTCAGGCTAGTGTGCTATGTTGCAATATAGTGTCTGAAAACTCTACTTTAGGGTTTGACTAATTATACCCGTTCCGAAGGAAAGAGGGTATACTGTTTACCCTTGTGTGTCTGTCTGTCTGTGTGTCAAGCTGTCTGTCCGTCCGTAACAAATTTTTCGACTCAGTTTTCTCAGTAACTACTTATCGCAGAGATTTGAAATTTTAGCACACACTTTGTTGAGGCATGCCATATGGTGGAATTAATTTTTGAACGAATTTGATGTCAACTTCATGTTAATCCGTGCGTCTGTCCCTACCATATATAACAAATTTTGGTCGCAGTTTTCTCAGCAACTACTCATTGTAGAGGCTTGAAAATTTAACACACTCTCTGTTTTGGCGTGCTGTATGGTGGGATTCATTTTTGTACGCATCCAATGTCAACTTCCTGTTTATCCTTGTGTCTGTCCGCACCATACATAACTAATTTTTGTCGTTTTTTTTTCTCAGCAACTACTTATTGCAGAGGCTTGAAATTTTAGCACATTCTTTGTTTACTCATGTCATATGGTGGGATTCATTTTTATACGAATCCGATGTCAACTTTCTGTTTATCCGTGTGTCTGTCCGTACAAAACAATTAATTTTGTCGTTTTTTTTTCTCAGCAACTACTCATTGCAGAGGCTTGAAATTTTAGCACACTCTTTATTTAAGCATGTCATATGGTGGGATCAATTTTTGTACGAATCCGATCTCGACTTACTGTTTTATCCCCGTGTCTGTCCGTAACTTATAAGTATGTAAAAAAAAAAAAAAAGAAGAAGGCCTAAAACACGAACCCCTAGAATTGATGGGATCAGGTGTCTAGGTGGAGTAAGCATCCCCTGTTGACAAAGCACACACGCCGTGAGCTCTTTGTATTGAACGAGTAGACGGAACTATCAGTTGTCAATTTCAGTATAAAAAAAGAAGGCTTAGCAATTGGTATTAAACAAGTCATCCAAAATGCGATCTAATGAAAGGCAATATTTGCTAACATGGTCATTATTACGATGAAAGAAGTTACGAAATGCTTCGGAAACCGGTTGGTGCCAGGTAAAAAAATATTTTATCTGGCGGCCGCCAAAAAATTTTCTGGCGGCCGCTGTATAATATCTGGCGGCCGCCACATAAATAACTGGCGGCCGCCAGAAATTATCTGGCGGCCTTCAAATAATTTTCTGGCGGCCGCTAGATAAGTTTCTGGCGGCCGCCAGTTATTTATGTGGCGGCCGCAGATAATTATCTGGCGGCCGCCAGATAAACTATTTTTCTACCTGGCACCTACCGGCTTCCGTAAAATGCCGACTATAATAGAGGCTGTTAAAATCCATGTAACATCAACTAATCACTGATAAGCATGCCTCTCTTTAAAACTGATCGTACTGAGAGCAAGCTCTTATAAGTTGGGGGCATAAACACCACAAGCAGGTGATAGTGGAATATTCTACATAAAGACAGTTGACGATGAAAAAGCTGAAATCATCTCTGTTGTCATACAGTTTAGTTGTTAATTTGCCTTTATCGTCTCTAAACAGTTAAACATCCGAATATGAATTTGTAAGGCTCATTATTTTAACTGTATTTTTGAAGAACTAGGATGTTATTCTACAAGTGGCAATCCAACTCGTTACAACACGGTGACTTACATCAGTTCTTTTTGTTCCCAAACATTACTTTTGTAAATTTTACCATCAAAATATCAGAAATTTTACCATCAAAATATCAGAAAGACGGGGAAAAATGACCAATCGTGTACTATCTGTCTTCAGAATTGGAAATCAGGATAGACATTTCACAGACTACCAGAGAACGGATACATAAACATCTGACAACTGGAGAGCGGATATACGGCGCATAGACGTCCCGCGCCAAGAAAGTTTAACAACAAGGTTCTCAGCTATTGTTTGTCAAAAGATTGAGGGGTACAATTATATCCAAGAGGTATAATAAATTGCTTGGAAATGTTACCAAGCGCATACTTTGTTAGTTTTATATTAATAATTTGGTTTTGTTGTTTCTTTTCCCCCCCTTTTTTAGCTCACCTGAGCCGAAGGCTCAAGTGAGCTTTTCTGATCGAAATTTGTCCGTTGTCTGTCTTCATCGTTGGCGTTGTCGTCGTTGTCGTAAATTTTTCACATTTTCATCTTCTCCAGAACAACTGGGCCAATTTCAATCAAACTTGGCACAAAGTATCCTTATGTGAAGGGGATTCAAGTTTGTTCAAATGAAGGGCCACACCATCCTCCAAGGGGAGATAATTACGAAATAGCAAAAAATTAATGGCATTATTGAAAAATTTTCTTCTCCAGAACCAATGGGCCAGAAAAAAATGAAACTCATGTGGAATTATTGTCAGGTAGTGTAGATTCAAGTTTGTTCAAATCATGACCCCCAGGGGTAGGGTGGGACCACAATGGACGGTCAAAGTATAAAATAGGTGTATATAGGAAAAATCTTCAAAAATCTTTTTCTCAAGAACAGCAAAAAATAATTGGTCATATTTATGTGGAAGCATCCTCAGGTGGTGTAGATTCAAGCTTGTTCAAATCATGACCCCAAGGGGTAGGGTGGAGCCACAATGGACGATCAAAGTATAACATAGGTGTATGTAGGAAAAATCTTCAAAAATTTTTTTTTTCTCAAGAACAGCAAAGCAATGATTGGTAATATTTATATGGAAGCATCCTCAGGTGGTGTGGGTTCAAGTTTGTTCAAATCATGACCCCCAGGGGTAGGATGGGGCCACAATGGACGATCAAATTTTAACATAGGTGTGTATAGGAAAAATCTTCTCAAGAACAGCAAAGCTATGATTGGTCTTATTTATATGGAAGCATCCTCAGAAAGTGTAGATTCAAGTTTGTTCAAATCATGACCTTCAGGGGTAGGGTGGGGCCACAAGGAAAGTTCAAACTTGTAGAGAAAATGTCACAGTCAAAATATTATGTAAGCATCATTAGTAAGTGTTCAAATCATACCCCCACTCCCTTTTAGGGGTAGGTCGGGACCACTTATGCATTTAAGCTTTTCAATACTAAACTGATTTTTTTTTCTTTTTTCCTAGCCAGTGCTCAGGTGAGCGATGTGACCCCTGGGCCTCTTATTTGTTGTTAAGTTTGGTTAATGTTGTTTTCTTTTGCAGGTCTAAAGTTGCCATTTTTGTGTCGCAGTGGTTAGAGAGTTCGCTTTAAGAGTCGCGGAGTAAGTTGATCCTTACGTCGCGGGTTTGAATCCCACTGTGCGACGTGGAGACCGATCTTTTGGATGAGACCGTATAAACCGAGGTCCCGTGTCGCAGTAGGTGCTGGCACGAAAAGGATCGCCCAATGCTCAATGGCCCAGAGTGCCAAGTATAAGTCAAAATTTGCAGCTCTCCACCGGCAAGTGGTGGCGTCTCCAGATGGAATCAGGACAAGTCGCCCAAACCACCTTTAAAGACTGATCGCCCCCAATTTAGGACAACTCACACCCACTCAAGACAACTCGCCCCGATTATTTTTTCTCATGAATTGCAAGGAAAAAAAAAAGTATTATTCAAAAAAGATATTTATTTTAATTTTCCTCTTTTCTTAGATTTGATTCTTATGAAATCAAAGAGCGAATAAAAGCATTTTGAATTATCATATTTTTAAAAGTTATATTTATATTTGTAAAATATGTCTACGTAAATAAAGCACATTGTCTTAAGTGTTAAAACATCTTAATTATTTATTGACATATTAATAACGTTCCATCCACGGCGTAAGGAAGCTGTGATAACTAAAATGAAAACATCAGACAAGATTTTAATTAAACCCCCCTAACTCACAAGTAATTTGAAACTTCAAAGTGAAGATTAATTACGACATGCAAGCCCCGAAAATTACGTTCATTTCTTTGATAACAAAAATTGCAACATCTCCGACAGCACCAAGAGATTGTACGTTGCATTTCCTACCAAGGAAAACAACATAGGACATATTACTCAGGTTAGAAAAAATATAATATTAAAGCATTATATCAATCGTATCTTTTCTTATATTTTAAGTGCAATTCTAGAGGCATAATGCAAATATTGATGGATTTAATATAAAACATATTTCTTTTTTAGACATCTCACGTGGGAGTATCGGCGGATAAGAAGGCAAGGACAAGTTGTGTTTCAGTGTCTGGGGTGTGTAGAGCCCACAATCCCCTACTCTGAGGTCACCACAACCAGCGAGCTCCCCTCACGTCTTCTCCCAGAGGCCAAGAACACACGAATAGTTGAGGAGTCCATTAACATCCCCATTGTTCCCCATGCCTAACCACACCATCCAGAGGAGGAATCACTCACCGACTAGACTTCACCCCAGGAACTGTCTACCAGAGTAGCCGTCATCACTTTTCACGTCACCGAGAATACCTCACAACGCGGGAAGAGGAAACTTGTGTCCAGCGATGGATATTCTTACGTGGTAAGGAAGGAGAACAAGAGCGGATCCTCTTGATTTGCTTCAGCAAAGACGTGGTACATCGATGGAACTTTCAAGATTGTTTCCAAGCCTTTTGTGCAGATGTTATCGATCCACTTCTTTGCCAGATCCTGATACAAAATGAAACCGCTTCCAGGGATCTACGTCCTCATGCCAAGGAAAAGGAAGAAGGGCTACAAGCAGGTATAAAATCCCTTCTTAAATAAGAAAAAAAAATTATTTTTATTTTAAAAATCTATACTTTATTTTATATCAATGTTGATTTGCTTTCAGGTGTTTGCCAGGATTTTGGAGCTGTTGCCATCGCCCCCTGTAACCGAGCTGCTAGTTGCAGACTTCGAGGAGGGAAAGTGGAGAGCTGCGAAGTCTGTGTTGCGTGGCGTCCGGATACACGGTTGTACTTTTCACTGGAGACAAGCAGTATGGGGTCATGTTCAGGAGCTTGGATTATAGGTATACTAATTTATGCATTACATGTATATTACAGTAAATGATTTTCAGAGTGTACTTAAGTTAACTTTAATTTTAGAATGACAAAGAATGTTGTAATATTTGATAAATAAATATACTAAGCTTGAAACATACAATGTATATGGCAACGTATATAGATATAAATATTATTTTTTTTTGCAGATGGATTAATGCCAGCGGGATGGTGTATTCAAGTTCGTTAGGAAGCTGCTTACCCTGCCATTTCTGCCAGAGGGACAGATTCCCGTCGCGTTCAACACACTAAAGGAGACCGTCACAAGCGACCGACTGATACATCTGACCAATTAAATAGAGAGGACCTGGATCAACGGCGACATTTAGACACCATCATCGTGGACCGTCTACCGTATGGCTGTGAGGACAAACAACAACGTCGAAGGATGGCACCACCGCATCAGCAGGAGAGCCCAGAAGTCCAGCCTGCCCTTCTATGTGCTTGTGATTCTTCTCTTCAAGGAAACCGCCAGCATCCCGAACCAGCTTAAGATGATCAGCGAGGGAAAACTCCGGAGATACCAACGAAAGACTACAAGACTTCTACAGTGCTGCATCAACCAACTTTGGGACAACTACAACGATGGATCCATCAGCGCCAGCAGCCAGCAAACTTCTGAAGAAATGTGGACAGATCTACAACGGACAGTGAGTGAATAAGAAAAACGTGCTGAATGTAAATATTGATGTACATATTTATGTAAATATATATGTACATATTTATTACACCAGGATATAACAAAATCGAACTTTTTACAGTTTATGGATCATGATAAAATCTTATGTTCCCTGTCCTTTAGTTGAGACTGATGCACGCCACCACTACGAATACATATATATCTATAATTTTGCTCGTGCACCATGCACCATGCATCAGTTACAATAACCATTTACCATCATTACATTATATAATCTACCACTGTATATAAAATTAGAGTGTCCAGTGATTAATTACACTATTTCTCGATTCATATAATAGCAAGTGTTTATTCATTTATAGTAAAAACGTCATTGTACAATTTATTTCAACCATTGCTTACCATCCATTTTGGCACCATCACACTTATTTAGCGCATGCGTACCAATAACATCATAGAGCCCACTTAAATTAACTCATAACGATAAAGAGCTATACAGAAGTAAAATGCAAAGGTGAAAAAGCAAAGTTAAGAATGTTAAAGTGCGATACTAGTATCAATCCTTCGCCTTCGAACCTTAGCTCTTCGCCATCGCCCTAAAGGTGAAGGTGCGAGTGGCCCCAACGGAACACGATATAATAAGAATATATACCACATGTAGTATTGAGAAACTGAGGACCTTATACACTCGGTACAAGTTTTGGGACTTAACACAAAATAAGTCTATATATAGAAACTAAGGATCTAATACACACGGTTCAAGTTTGGGGACTTACAAACAAGATAAATATATATATATATATAGAAACTGAGGATCTTATACACACGCTTCAAGTTTGGGGACTTACACATAATAAGGGTATATATAGAAACTGGGAACCTTACTTACATTGAACAATGTTGAGGACTTATACATAAGATAAGGGTAAGAAAACCGAGGACCTTATATACACGCTATAAATTTTGGGACTTACCCCCAAGATAAGGGTATATTAAGAAACGAAGAACCTTATACACACGTGAACGGTACAAGTTTGGGGACTTACACAATATAAGGGTAAATATAGAAACTGAAGATCTTATACATGTACACGTCGCCCGCGTGGCGCAGTGGTTAGAGCGTCTGTTCTAGAGTCGCGAAGTAAGGAGTTGATTCTTACGTCGCGGGTTCGAATCCCACTGTGGGACGTGGAGACCGGTCCTTTGGATGAGACCGTATAAACCGAGGTCGCAGTAGGTGCTGGCACAAAAAAGATCCCTCACTGCTCAATGGCCGAAAGAGCCGAGTATAGGACAAAATTTGCAGCTCTCCACTGGCAAGTGGTGGCGTCTCTATATGAGTGAAAAATTCTGGAGAGGGACGTTTAACAACATACAAAAAACAAGCAAACAAAATATACATGTACACACGGTATAAGTTTTAGGACATACACACAAGATAAGGGTTTACAATGACACTGAGGATCTTATACACACGGTACAAGATTTGGGACTTGCAATTAAGATAAGGGTATATGTAAAACCTGTGGATCTTATACACTTAGTACAAGGTCGGGGGTCGCCGGCGTGGCGCAGTGGTTAGAGCGGTCGCTCTAGAGTCGCGGAGTAAGGAGTTGATCCTTACGTCGCTGGTTCGAATCCCACTGTGGGACGTGAAGACCGGTCCTTCGGATGAGACCGTAGAAACCGAGGTTCCGTGTCAAAGTAGGTGCTGGCACGAAAAAGATCCTTCATTGCTCAATGGCCCTCAGTGCCGAGTATAGGTCAAAATATGCAGCTCTCCATATAGGTGAAAAATTCTCTTAAACAATATACAAACAATATAAATTAGGGACTTGCACACAAAATAAGAGTATATCTTCAAAGTTCATTTTTCTTTTTGTATAACTATATCGGGCATCACTGAAGAGACATAATTTGTCGAAATGCGCATCTGGTGCATTAAACTGGTACCGTATAGGATTAACATTATGACTCCTGGGTCAATGCCTTTGCTGGTGGACTGTTAGCTATGTACTTCGGTACTAGCTTGAGAATACGGATTATATATTTAATTGCTGTGGTAAAATTTAGAAATTTATTTCAAAATTTAGGATTATCTCCCCAATGCATAGCACTGATCTTTCGATGTATTTGGCTCCAGTCTTTAGCACCCCTTTTCAGCTCTTCAAAGTTTTTTTGTTCTTTTCATATAAATATTTCGGATTTCCAAAGTTTCGGCATGAGCATCCCTGAAGAGACATAATTTGTCGAAATGCGCATCAGGTGCATCAAATTGGTACCCTATATGATTTACTTTATGTCCCCTGGGTCGAGGCCTCAGCTGGTGGACTGTTAGTCCTCGGGGGTATCTACACCCAAGTAGCTTAGTACTAGCTTGAAAATACGGATATATACGTAACTGAACTGCTTTGGTAAAATTTAGAAATTTATTTCAAAATAAAGGATAATCTCCCTCATGCATAGCTCTGATCCTTCGACGTAGTTGGCCCCAATCATTGGCACTTTTTTTTAGCTCTTCAAAAGCCTTTTTTATTTTGATATTTTGCATTTCCAACGTTTCGGCTTGAGCATCACTGAAGAGACATAATGTGTCACAATGCGCATCTGGTGCATCAAAATTTGGACCGTATATGATTTACAGACAAGATAAGGGTACATAAAGAAACTGAGGACCTTATACACACGGTATAAGTTTGGGGATTTACACACAAGATAACGGTATATATAAAACCTGTGGACCTTATACACAAAGTACGAGTTTGGGGACTTGCATACAATATAGGAGTATATATACATGTAGAAACTGAGGACCTTATGCACGGTACAAGTTTGGGACTTTTAACATAATTTCCTTTCAATTGAGGACTTATAACAATATCGTAAAACTAGATCTGCAAAAATCGTAAGGCTTTATATAGTTCTAAACCATTCAGTCAATACAGATTTAGTAACATGGTCATTTGGTATCTTGCTTAAATCTTAAAGAATGGAGCCGTATAAGGTTAGGACATTTCCTTGTTCTGATTAAATCATTTTTTTTTCAATTCTAACAGCTTTTGAAAAGTTATATTTTCAAAACTTGTATGGTCAATATCATGCTTTACACATTTTCTTCCCTTATTTTACTGAATAACTTATTGATAAATAATTTATATTACTTTTCCCTAATTTTGAAAACTGAAAAATATATCGTCTCTGAGCGGTGAAGTGTTCTCGACTTGAACGCACTCTGTCTTATTGATATCCTAACACCTCATGTCAACTCATATCAAGTATCAAACCAGCCTGCAAAAGTCCCTATCAAACACGAAGTAACTTTTAAAAGATTGATTGATTGTTGTTGTTGTTTCACGCCGAGTCGGCAATATTTCTGCCATATTTCGGCGGGTCTTTTAAAAGATAACCTTTATAAGATATATTCGCTCATTTTTATTCATGAACTAATATATCTTGACTTTATTAGTTTTAAAATTACCTTAAACATAACTATGCAGACCTAAAACTTTCTCCTCTAAGGCTGATATAACATACAATATCGATTTTAGTATGTCATATTCTATATACAATACTATGAACCAAAATTATTTTCTGAAAACATGATTTTTGGAAAGAAAAGGACAATTTCTGATCAGCAATCTACCACAGAAATGAAAATGTTCTTGCAAGCGACAGAAAATAATAATAAAAAAAACAGGACTGAAATAAATTCAGTCAACAAACATTTTTCCCATTTTATTTCCATGTTGAAAGTTCCAGGAAACGTTTTTATAAAAGAAAAAACACCTGTCAAAACAACTTGAGAAATCATTATGGAAAAGACCAGGTATACAATCTAATTAAAAAATCAGGGAAAATCTTGATTTGCATACTACTTTGTTAGTTCACTGGGATTGATTGCAATTCTACGATTTTTTAAAATTTTGATTACAGTTCCCAGAGTTTACATTTATTGTAAATAAAAAAAAAAATGATAAGATATTTTTGATATCTATTATGATTATTTGCAGCATTTTAAGATTATTAATAATGTAATTAAAATGAAGGGAAGATGTTTATTTGCATACTACATGTACATGTAATGCTGATCAGCTGGTTGTTTCGTATACGTTAAGGACCCTCTATACACCACCGCAAAATGTTTTCTTTCGAAGACAATCAAGTATCAATGAACATAAATCACTATTGTTTACTTCCGTGGAGAAAATACATGCGAATAAAGTGTTCAATTAATTTATCTTGGCTATTTAAAATGTTATGAATGCTTGAACTGGTTACAAATTAAGAAATATACTGTAAATTTCTACTTATTGGAATTTAGATAAAAGGGCAGATCAATTAACTGCAGAAGAATGCCATAGAATCAAAACTCTTTACTGTGCAGTGTAGAGAGGGTTCTTAAGTGAACTGATGACATTGTATAATTGATAATGTGTTTACTTTCAAATACTTTAACACAGATTATTTTCAAGATATAATTTGTCCAGAAGCATTTTGGAAATATATATATATATATATATATATATATATATATATTATACTACATGTAAGTAAAGTAATAAATATTCCTTTTTTCATGCTTTGTTGAAGGTCAAGTATCTATGGCTACAACTGACTGGAATTGATTGCAGGAGTATGATCAATGATAATATGTTTACAAATGAAACTGAAACAAAATTTTATTAATTTTAATTTATCGAATGACCCTCAATTAGAAATACTTTTTCACCTGTATTTTGCAATACTTTACCTTAGAACGAACAAAGGCAACAAAAGGTTGTTGTAATGTTTGTTGTGTATGTTCTACTAGAAGACGTCTTATCGGTCCCCAGAGAAAGAGTGGAAGGGATTTCGTTCAACCATGACGGGAACGTCAGCGCGTAACGAGACCTAGTCAAGACAGGGCTATCCATCTTACTTCCTGCGTAATCGCGACGTCACTACCATCAGACCTCTTTCAATACAGTAAGCAATCACCATCTTCACTTCCACCCAAAAACTGGAAGAAACCGATTGAGCAAG